GTGTGACTTTCCTTGCATCTAGGACAGTACGTTACTGTACTGTGTGACTTTCCTTGCATCTGGGACAGCACGTTACTGTACTGTGTGACTTTCCTTGCATCTGGGACAGCACGTTACTGTACTGTGTGACTTTCTTGAGGATGCTGTATTTCATTAAAAAAATTATCAATTAACAAACAAAAACTCATTTTGAAGTTGTCTCGAAAAGATACATCTAAAACCACCATCTTTAGGAGTTTCCAGATTGAACTTACTTTTAATATTCAACAATATTGTAGTGTAAAGACACCCATTGGCTCCTGAGGGACATGTTAAATGAATTGTTCTTATGTGGAAACGTATCAGAATGAAGGAATTAAATGTCTTGTAGAAAGTTAGTGTTTTCTCTGTTGTACACAAATATAAAAGATACACAATATAGAGGTAATATTGATGCTGTGCACTAGATTTTCTTTAGAAATAACCCATTTTCTACCCTCCCTCTAAACTATGGTATCAATGTAGTGTAGGATGAGCTTGTCTTTAACCTGTACATATTTTTAGTCCAACCTGTTCTTATTCTTACTTTATTAAATGGAATTTTTTACTAATTTTAGGGAACTTGTTTTTCTGTTACAGATATGACAATATGGCAGACTTGTATGCTCTAATCAACACATTACAATGTTTGGAAAAAGCCTACATCAAAGACTGTGTCACAGCTAAAGAGTACGTTTTGTCTTTATGTGGTTGTGCATTATCATTGTTTGTTTTTTAACAATACTGTAGCTGTCCCTTTAGAAACATTTTTGCATGTTTTTTTTTGCAGTTAAAGAATTTAATGTGAAAAATCAGATACTAAACAAAGAATTTAAAAACAACTTTCATGTTTTTTTCTTATTGTACGAGAAGAAAAAACTTTCCAGGTAACAACCATGTCAATAAATTTCAAAAATTTAATTAAAATTGTTTGAAGAAATCGTTATAAGTATGTACTGTTATTATTATTGTCCCTCCCACTATTATAATACGTGTACATATGATAGTTTAAAGGGATAGTGTGCATCAGTCAGGTAACAATTTCCTAGATCACAATTATAAAACTAGTAAGTACAATGTAATGGAACTAGCTGCATGATTTTACTTTGATTCTTTTTTTAAGGGATCAGTACTATTGTTGTAATTTTTTTAACATAGTAAAGTGATAAATTAAATAATTATATATTGTTTGGAGTTACGTATATTCACTTACGTTTCAGTTTTGACAATCTATAAAAAAAATAATAAAACATACCAGATGTAAAATAGTGTTATGTCAAGCTTGCCAAGAAACCACTTGAAATAATTGTAAAATCATTGCTTTTGTGTTTTTTCAATCTACGTTATATGATTGAAAGATTATAGTTTAGCTGATGTTTTTAACTCGGTTCCATATTTTGTGCAAGAGGTTTTTTACCAAGTACATTCATCCGATGGTTAGTAGTTAGAGCCATCAAGAACCTTACTACTTAATGATTAATAAATAAAATCAACCAAGAACTAAAAACTAGTAAATAACAGCCATTACGAATCACACTATCTAACAGCTAATAAATAAATGACACCAAAAAACCCTTATATCTAATAACTAAAGCCACTAGAGAACCTTGTTGTCTAAAAACTAATGAATAGAAGACACACAGGAAGCCTGGTTTTTAATGACAAATAGAAAAACACGCTAAGAACTGTGCTATTTAATGACTAATAAATAAAAGCCATCAAGAACCTACTGTGTAATAACTAATGATTAAAATCTATCAAGAACCTACTGTGTAATGACTAATGATTAAAATCCATCAAGAACCATAATGACTAATGATTAAAATACATTAAGAACCTACTGTGTAATGACTAATGATTAAAATCTATCAAGAATCTACTGTGTAATGACTAATTTTTAAAATCTATCAAGAATCTACTGTGTAATGACTAATGATTAAAATCCATCAAGAACCATAATGACTAATAAATAAAGTCATCAAGAACTTACTGTGTAATGACAAATGATTAAAATCCATCAAGAACCATAATGACTAATGATTAAAATCCATTAAGAACCTACTGTGTAATGACTAATGATTAAAATCTATCAAGAATCTACTGTGTAATGACTAATGATTAAAATCCATTAAGAACCTACTGTGTAATGACTAATGATTAAAATCTATCAAGAACCATAATGACTAATGATTAAAATCCATTAAGAACCTACTGTGTAATGACTAATGATTAAAATCTATCAAGAATCTACTGTGTAATGACTAATGATTAAAATCCATCAAGAACCATAATGACTAATAAATAAAGCCATCAAGAACTTACTGTGTAATGACTAATGATTAAAATCCATCAAGAACCATAATGACTAATAAATAAAGCCATCAAGAACCATAATGACTAATAAATAAA